AGCATTTTTTCGAAAAAAGTTCTACTTTTCCATAGCTATAGGCTTGCTTTTTAAGCAAAAGTCGACCCTTGAAAGGGGTGGTTTTCTAGTTGGAGATAAGCTTTTTTCAAAAAGATATTTCAATTCTTGTTGGTTTTTCTGATATAAACAGATTAACTTAAGTTTCAGTAAGCATTTTTTTGAAAAAAGTTCTATTTTTTCCAAGGCTATAGGCTTGCTTTTTTAGCAAAAGTCGACCCTTGAAAAAGGGGTTGTTTTCTAATTGGAGATAAGCTTTTTTCCAAAAGATATTTCAATTCTTGTTTTTTCTTTCTGATATAAACAGATTAACTTGATTTTTGGTGAGCATTTTTTCGAAAAAAGTTCTATTTTTTCCAAGGTTATAGCCTTGCTTTTTTAGCAAAAGTCGAACCTTGAAAAAAGGGGTGGTTTTCTAGCTGGAGATAAGCTTTTTTCCAAAAGATATTTCAATTCTTGTTGGTTTTTCTGATATAAACAGATTAACTTAAGTTTTAGTAAGCATTTTTTCGAAAAAAGTTCTACTTTTCCATAGCTATAGGCTTGCTTTTTTAGCAAAAGTCGACCCTTTGAAAGGGGTGGTTTTCTAGTTGGAGATAAGCTTTTTTCAAAAAGATATTTCAATTCTTGTTGGTTTTTCTGATATAAACAGATTAACTTAAGTTTTAGTAAGCATTTTTTTGAAAAAAGTTCTATTTTTTCCAAGGCTATAGGCTTGCTTATTTAGCAAAAGTCGACCCTTGAAAAAAGGGGTGGTTTTCTAGCTGGAGATAAGCTTTTTTCCAAAAGATATTTCAATTCTTGTTGGTTTTTCTGATATAAACAGATTAACTTAATTTTTAGTGAGCATTTTTTCGAAAAAAGTTCTACTTTTTCCAAGGCTATAGGCTTGCTTTTTTAGCAAAAGTCGACCCTTGAAAAAGGGGTGGTTTTTTAGTTGGAGAGAAGCTTTTTTCAAAAAGATATTTCAATTCTTGTTTGTTTCTTTCTGATATAAACAGATTAACTTAATTTTTAGTGAGCATTTTTTCGAAAAAAGTTCTACTTTTTCCAAGGCTATAGGCTTGCTTTTTTAGCAAAAGTCGACCCTGGAAAAAGGGGTGGTTTTTTAGCTGGAGATAAGCTTTTTTCCAAAAGATATTTCAATTCTTGTTGGTTTTTCTGATATGAACAGATTAACTTAATTTTTAGTGAGCATTTTTTCGAAAAAAGTTCTACTTTTTCCAAGGCTATAGGCTTGCTTTTCTAGCAAAAGTCGACCCTGGAAAAAGGGGTGGTTTTTTAGCTGGAGATAAGCTTTTTTCCAAAACATATTTCAATTCTTGTTGGTTTTTCTGATATAAGCAGATTAACTTAAGTTTTAGTAAGCATTTTTTCGAAAAAAGTTCTACTTTTCCATAGCTATAGGCTTGCTTTTTTAGCAAAAGTCGACCCTTGAAAGGGGTGGTTTTCTAGTTGGAGATAAGCTTTTTTCAAAAAGATATTTCAATTCTTGTTGGTTTTTCTGATATAAACAGATTAATTAAGTTTTAGTAAGCATTTTTTCGAAAAAAGTTCTACTTTTTCCAAGGCTATAGGCTTGCTTTTTTAGCAAAAGTCGACCCTGGAAAAAGGGGTGGTTTTTTAGCTGGAGATAAGCTTTTTTCCAAAAGATATTTCAATTCTTGTTGGTTTTTCTGATAAAAAGAGATTAACTTAATTTTTAGTGAGCATTTTTTCGAAAAAAGTTCTATTTTTTCCAAGGTTATAGATTTGCTTTTTTAGCAAAAGTCGAACCTTGAAAAAAGGGGTGGTTTTCTAGCTGGAGATGAGCTTTTTTCCAAAAGATATTTCAATTCTTGTTGGTTTTTCTGAAATAAACAGATTAACTTAAGTTTTAGTGAGCATTTTTTCGAAAAAAGTTCTATTTTTTCCAAGGCTATAGGCTTGCTTTTCTAGCAAAAGTCGACCCTGGAAAAAGGGGTGGTTTTTTAGCTGGAGATAAGCTTTTTTCCAAAAGATATTTCAATTCTTGTTGGTTTTTCTGATATAAACAGATTAACTTAAGTTTTAGTAAGCATTTTTTCGAAAAAAGTTCTACTTTTCCATAGCTATGGGCTTGCTTTTTTAGCAAAAGTCGACCCTTGAAAGGGGTGGTTTTCTAGTTGGAGATAAGCTTTTTTCAAAAAGATATTTCAATTCTTGTTGGTTTTTCTGATATAAACAGATTAATTAAGTTTTAGTAAGCATTTTTTTGAAAAAAGTTCTTTTTTTCCAAGGCTATAGGCTTGCTTTTTTAGCAAAAGTCGACCCTTGAAAAAAGGGGTGGTTTTCTAGCTGGAGATAAGCTTTTTTCCAAAAGAAATTGACATTTGAATTCTTGTTTGTTTCTTTCTGATATAAACAGATTAACTTAATTTTTTGTGAGCATTTTTTCGAAAAAAGTTCTACTTTTTCCAAGGCTATAGCCTTGCTTTTTTAGCAAAAGTCGACCCTTGAAAGGGGTGGTTTTCTAGTTGGAGATAAGCTTTTTTCCAAAAGATATTTCAATTCTTGTTTGTTTCTTTCTGATATAAACAGATTAACTTAATTTTTTGTGAACATTTTTTCGAAAAAAGTTCTACTTTTTCCAAGGCTATAGCCTTGCTTTTTTAGCAAAAGTCGATACTTGAAAGAAGGGGTGGTTTTCTGGTTGGAGATAAGCTTTTTTCCAAAAGATATTTCAATTCTTGTTGGTTTTTCTGATATAAACAGATTAACTTAATTTTTAGTAAGCATTTTTTCGAAAAAAGTTCTACTTTTTCCAAGGCTATAGGCTTGCTTTTTTAGCAAAAGTCGACCCTGGAAAAAGGGGTGGTTTTTTAGTCGGAGATAAGCTTTTTTCAAAAAGATATTTCAATTCTTGTTTGTTTCTTTCTGATATAAACAGATTAACTTAATTTTTAGTGAGCTTTTTTTCGAAAAATTTCTACTTTTTCCAAGGCTAGAGGCTTGCTTTTTTAGCAAAAGTCGACCCTGGAAAAAGGGGTGGTTTTTTAGCTGGAGATAAGCTTTTTTCCAAAGGATATTTCAATCTTGTTGGTTTTTCTGATATAAACAGATTAACTTAAGTTTTAGTAAGCATTTTTTTGAAAAAAGTTCTATTTTTTCCAAGGCTATAGGCTTGCTTATTTAGCAAAAGTCGACCCTGGAAAAAGGGGTGGTTTTTTAGTTGGAGATAAGCTTTTTTCCAAAAGATATTTCAATTCTTGTTGGTTTTTCTGATATAAACAGATTAACTTAATTTTTAGTGAGCATTTTTTCGAAAAAAGTTCTACTTTTTCCAAGGCTATAGGCTTGCTTTTTTAGCAAAAGTCGACCCTGGAAAAAGGGGTGGTTTTTTAGTCGGAGATAAGCTTTTTTCAAAAAGATATTTCAATTCTTGTTTGTTTCTTTCTGATATAAACAGATTAACTTAATTTTTAGTGAGCATTTTTTCGAAAAATTTCTACTTTTTCCAAGGCTATAGGCTTGCTTTTTTAGCAAAAGTCGACCCTGGAAAAAGGGGTGGTTTTTTAGCTGGAGATAAGCTTTTTTCCAAAAGATATTTCAATTCTTGTTGGTTTTTCTGATATAAACAGATTAACTTAATTTTTAGTGAGCATTTTTTCGAAAAAAGTTCTACTTTTTCCAAGGCTATAGGCTTGCTTTTTTAGCGAAAGTCGACCCTGGAAAAAGGGGTGGTTTTTTAGCTGGAGATAAGCTTTTTTCCAAAAGATATTTCAATTCTTGTTGGTTTTTCTGATATAAACAGATTAACTTAATTTTTAGTGAGCATTTTTTCGAAAAAAGTTCTACTTTTTCCAAGGCTATAGCCTTGCTTTTTTAGCAAAAGTCGACCCTGGAAAGAAGGGGTGGTTTTTTTAGCTTGAGATAAGCTTTTTTCCAAAAGATATTTCAATTCTTGCTTGTTTCTTTCTGATAGAAACAGATTAACTTCATTTTTGGTGAACATTTTTTCGAAAAAAGTTCTATTTTTTCCAAGGTTATAGCCTTGCTTTTTTAGCAAAAGTCGAACCTTGAAAAAAGGGGTGGTTTTCTAGCTGGAGATGAGCTTTTTTCCAAAAGATATTTGAATTCTTGTTTGTTTCTTTCTGATATAAACAGATTAACTTAATTTTTTGTGAGCATTTTTTCGAAAAAAGTTCTACTTTTTCCAAGGCTATAGCCTTGCTTTTTTAGCAAAAGTCGACCCTTGAAAGGGGTGGTTTTCTAGTTGGAGATAAGCTTTTTTCCAAAAGATATTTCAATTCTTGTTTGTTTCTTTCTGATATAAACAGATTAACTTAATTTTTTGTGAACATTTTTTCGAAAAAAGTTCTACTTTTTCCAAGGCTATAGCCTTGCTTTTTTAGCAAAAGTCGATACTTGAAAGAAGGGGTGGTTTTCTGGTTGGAGATAAGCTTTTTTCCAAAAATTGACCCGTGAAAAAGGGGTGGTTTTCTTCCCCCTTCTGATACATAATTTCTCTAGTGCTCTATTCAAAGGAAAACATGATGGCTTACTATTTCATTCAAATGTTCCAGAAACAACGTACTACAAACAAAATATTGAACAACACAGAATTACTTAAATATTTAACATATATTTAATGCTATCAAATGAAGAAATGCCTTTCTACTTCGGAGCTTATGTACAAAACTAGAATAGCATATAAAACAAAACGTTATTCAAACAAACAGTCGAATTCTAAAAAAATCAGGAGCGAAGAATTTTAATTGAGATGGTTTCTTATGGGGGAGGTGTTGATAGGGGGTTGTTAGGGGGCCGATATGGTGTTGACAGGGATACAAGAACAGATTCAGAATGTATGTTGTGTAATATATTGAAAATACATTTCCATTCTTTGGATCCGAGAAAGAGCCGATCTGATCAAAGTAGGGAGGTCGGTTTTTACGAATCAAAAAGCTTATTGGTCTAAAATAGTTTGCCATCTTTATAATCTATTTACTGGGCCAGACAACCATCTCTAGGTCCTGTCATTACAGAAGGCAACTCAATACTCATGTTTGTCTAATTAGAGATTTTCTAGACTTCTGTTTTAACGACAAGTCGCACTATAGACAAACGATTATTATGTTCTCAGCCTTACATTCGGTATTCGATACGCTCTTAGCCTTAAGTCGGACAAATTTCTTGGAGAAGGGGGGGGGGGGCAGAATAATGCAAATCAAAGTTCCAAGAGATGATAGAGGGATTCCGGTGCTAAGATACCACGTTTGCAACCAGACCTAGACATTAAACCTTGCACATCGAGGAGGTGTGATGCGGCGAACAAGAAACAAGTATAAAAAACCGGCGTAGGATGACCAATAATAAAATTATGCAGCTAGCAAGAAATTAAAAAGCTAGCTTCTATGAAATCGGCTAACATGTATTTAAATCTTAAACTACGTACAAAAATGTACTGAAAATAATTTTGAAATCAAAGGAATAGCACTCATTAATCGGCTAGGAAGAACCTTGGCGCAGAAAAAATCTTAGGACAAAGTAGAAGTTTGCTTTGTAACTAAATTGAAAATGACATGTTATTTCAAATTTACAAATCCATGTCATACGTTTGAAATAAAAATTCCCAGTAAGATAAATAATACATATATTTATACACAGTTCACTCTTATTCTTTACAACTAAAATACCTTATGCAACCTATTGTATAAAATTTTAGAATGTTCTAATCGCTATGCTTACACTGCCTGGCCAGACAGAAACTTTATTTACATGAAAAGTTGACCAGCCAGCATCTCTAACGAGAAATGCAAGATAACTGACATAAGGCCAAAAGCCATAGCGCAAACACTAACATTGATACAATTGCAAACGGGCAATTGACGTAACTGATCGCAAATGACCAAGCAGCATAGCCCAAACGCCAGCGTTTATACAATCGTAAACGCAGCAGATAACGTAAACGATCGCAATGGGCCAAGCAGCATAGCCCAAACGCCAGTGTTGATACAACCGCAAACGCAACAATGATGTACATTGACAAATTTGACAGTAAATTTAAAACTATCGAATACATCTCTTTTAAAAGTATCGAGTACATATTGGATCAAAGTTTGCGATGGAAAAGAATAGGATAGGATTCACAATCCCATCTTCTAGCATCCAAGGGCGCATTCATTAATAGTGTGTACGTAATATTCTCAAAATGCCAGTCACAGCTAGCGAAAATATTTATTTCTATTCTTTAAACACATACCTTAGGCTTTACATTTTCTTTCACAAATCACAACGCCATGGTTCACACAACTTCTCGATCCAAATTCAAGCTTTAAGCTACCGCTGGCTTTTCTGTTCCAGAAGTTTTCGCATTTCAGCAACCGAGGTTGGTCTCTCCTCCTTCACAGGTTCCAGATGCTTAGTCAACAAGGGCTTTTCGCCATCTCCATTTTGTAAGCTTTTCTTAGGAGGAGCCATTTGTGGCTTAGGAGGAGCTATAGGTTTCTTCGCCACTGTACCATCAATCTTTTTATCCTCCGCAACGTTGCTGTTTCCATTATTGTCTGGAAGGCACGGCGTTCCGGAATCATTTGGGCTGGATTCTAGCTTTTCAGGTCGCCTTAGACTACCTCGGTCATTTAATGGTAGCGTGCGGAAATTTGGGTTTTTCTTCGATGCTCGACCAGGTTTTATAGTCCTATCAAACTGATTTCTGGGAGGGGCCATTGGTCTTTGTGGCCGTGGAGCAGCTACTGGAATTTCGCCTGGATTGGAAATTTTTGGTGTACGTGGAGCGGGTATTGGAGCCCTAATTGGCCCCTGAGCAACATTGGACGCCGATGGATTCTTTTTTTCAATTTCTACCTTGTCAGGGTTACTTTTCTTTTGCGGTAAGAGGGGTTTTTTCGAACATACCTTTGAAGCGTTACTTCTTTCATTTCCAATAGAAGAAGGTTCTATGTACTCGCTGGAGCTATCAATTCGTAAGGTTGGCTTGCATCCTGAAGGCGGAGGCGGAGGAGCAGCTTGCAATGCAGGGAAATCAGCTTTCACTGGAGACTGCAAAAAATGAGGATATTAGCGTAATGCAAGCGCCAATTGAATTTGTAAACGTCTTTGTAATATCCCAACATTTATCTGTATCAGACCAACATTTATTTGTATTAACCCAGCATTTATAAAAGGTATAGTCGAAAATGAAATGAACACTCACATCGAAATAGTAAACAAATGATCAAATTGGCGAGAGAGAGACATCAATGAACTACCTAAGCCTAAAAGTACCGGCCGTCCAATAAATCCATTCTTCCCCAATTTAGGCGTGTTATAGGCACGGCCTTAAACAGAAAGCCAAATAATATTATGTATGTCATAACACTCGGGTAGGTGCAAAAGAGCCATACAAAAGAGAAACAATAAATTCATACTTACTTTAGGCCTTAGAGGTAATTGCCTCTTTTCATCTATTACTTTTTCATAGACATTAACAGACTCGTCTTCTCTCTGGTACACGACGACAAGATTCTCGTAAGTTGGGACTGGTTCACGTGGTTCTAAAGGAAGAGTGTTTGGTAGAGGCTCATTTGGCACTACAAGAATACTTGGCCTTGTTCTCTTCGAAGATGCTCTGTATATGAAGCTTTTCTTGCCATGGAAACTCCCTTTGTCGTAATCTTCATGAAGCGCGGCACTAAAATTTAACAAATTCACTTTTACCACGTGACAGAAAATATTTAGTAACGCGAGAGGGGCTCTTCTGTGCTTTCTCTTTAAAAAATGAAGATGGGCTATTGACAGATCAGGATAGAAATCATCTGAGAGATCATCAAGTTGATGGCTTGTCAATAGAGTTACAAAGTGATAATGTCAAACTATGAAGAAAATCAAGAAATTCTAACGATGACGACGTCACACTTTTGTGCTCTATAAAAATAATGATTACGAAATAATCTAGTAATAATCATGGTGAAACTGTGAACGTTTATGTAACAGATAAACTACACTTACATTGTCTTGTTGGTTTCATGTTTAATTTGCCACTCGTAATAGGCCTCCTTAATTTGGTTTCGCTTTATGTAAGCGAATACACCCAATGAAACCAGGATGAAAACGATGACAATTACAATGACAAATGCAACTAGGAATGAACTGCTAGCCCTTGCACTGCTCGAGTCATTCGCAGAATCTGTCATAACAAAAACAAACCACTTGTTAGCATTCTAAAAATAACCATTCTAAAGAAATTCTAACTTCATATAAAAGTTGACTCAGTCAGTTTAGTACTGAAATTTCACATCATTATTGATGAATGACTCTCTAGGACAAAGAAAAATTCATTGACTTGTGAAGGACAAATAACAAAAATGAGGAAGAGAGGTCATCGTAACGAGAGCCTAGAAAACATGGCGTACACATTTCATTGGTCATGCGAAAAATATGACCTTCATTTATGACAATTAACCTAAGACAACAAAACCAGCACAGCAGAAGTAGCTCTTGTTTCCAATTTCTACAGTTTTCAGTACGAAGGAATTTTCTGATAAATATTATGAATGTAACGTCGTTTCTTGCAATGGTGGCCTGCGTGGTCCAAAGGCTTGACAACGTAAAAATTGGGACTTACCAACCGCAGCAACATTATTCTTGAAGTTTTCTGGGTCTCCAATACTGCCAATAATTCTGTACCGAGTAACCGTATATATGCATCCTGTTTTACTCCTTTTGGACTGACCGCAGCCTATCTCTGTAGTCTTTTTCCAAACAATGTTCGTAAAATGCTTAATTGGAGCACTCGGAGAAACGCTTTCTCCTTTAGCGAAATCATAGTTCTTCACTTCTTTATACCAATGGTTGACGACACCTTTTGCTGATGGTGGAAAATTCAGACCATGGAAAAAATCTCTTGGGCAAAAAGTATAGCAGCAGAATTTGTGGATGCTCTCGCCAACGTGAATCTCTCTATTTCTATTCAAATCCCTAATTGTGAAGAAAACACAAATGAAAGAATCTGACAAATATAAAATTGCAAAAGATACAAATGCCTGAACGATGCAACAGTGACGTCGTTACAATGAACAGCTCTAATGTCCCTAAAGCCGAAAGCCCACTCCGGAAAATGATCCGCAGATCGGATCAGATTTTGTGTTGCGCAAGCGCTTTTAGTCCAAAAATGATCACATGACTGATCCGCGACGGATCGAAACGGTTCGAAAAAAAGTTGAAATCATTTCAACTGTTTTTTTAACCGTTCCGGTACAATAATTTTCTTTTGATGAAAATCGAATTAGAACTGTTTAAACAATAGAGCACTTGCGTTAAGGCCAATATCCATTGTGCGAAATTTGTTCGCTTTGCGCTGACGAAAAGCGAAAACAACATGGCGCACAATCTGCAGCTCACGATAGTTATGCGTGCCAAATAGAAAGCAAACATCTTCGTGCCAAGCATTACAAGATATCGGATGAGAATACAAATATTCTGTTTTTTCTTTGTTTGTTGAAGAAACCAAACAAAGAATCCAAAAGAAAATAAAAAGTTTTGGGACATAAATTCTACCAAGAGTTAGAAGCTTACAGAAATCTGGTTATAGATCTACAATTATATGAACGCCAACTATTTTTACTTTTTTTTCGTAGGTAAAGTTTAAAGAATTGATGTCTTTGGTGCACAATATAACCGCGATAAATTCAAAGGCACTCACCACTTTGAATCCGGAAAAAGAATCTCGCCATCCCACATTTCCTTATGAAAATTTTTCTTTTCTTCGGGGTCAACATTTCGGCGCCTTCTTTTCGGGAGATCTCTCTTTGGAGTCCTAAGACAAAGGGGGACAAATAGCACTATTAAACATGAAATATAAATAAAAACACGCATTGTATTTGTTTTCGGGAGCATAAACTGTAATAAAGACTTGAATTATACGCTTAAACATATAATAATGTTACGCTTTTAATACAGCTTTAAACATGCTGAACCTTTTGTCATTATGCATTCGTACTGACTCAGCTTTCAACACACTGATAAGGAACTTTCGTTCCTCAAAGAGCTAATAAAAAAATTTTGCGCTGAAGCCTGTTCTGTTCTGAGACAAGACCGTTTTAATGTATTTCGTAAAAGTACAAGAAACCAGCTTGGGCAAAGAAGGAAGTGGCAGCAGAATTAATTAAATTTCGATTCGAACATAGGTCATCTTGTGACACGGTTCGCTTTCAACAGCACCAAAAACAGAATACTCAAATTCTTTCAAGTCTATTTCTGCTTCGTTCCCATGCCACAGTATGCTTCACAACTGCCCACGAATGCCACAAAATGAAATATTAAGACCTTTTTGCTTTGAGCAGGGAACGGCTCCGTGGGGGTGTTAAGCATTTCATAATGAGATAGGATTACAGTGCAAGCCTCGTTTCCTAACATTCCAGTGACGAAAATAATCCCTTGAACTAACTACTCTAAGCCACAAAAAATCAGTCTGGTTTCATAGCAAAGCCGAGCTTTTGAAACTGAGTGACGTGTTTGTGGGTGCAAGTAGAAAAAAGGGGCAGCAAAAGGTGGTAACTGTGCTGCTCTTGTGGAGAGTTGAAGATAGATAAGTAGGCAAACACAACCTTCAACCTAAGTAGACACAAGAAAGTGATATAGAAGATGTTGTATTTTCCAATAGTCAAATAAAAGTAGTCATTAATAAAGATCATTATTTTGAATGAATGCTGATAGAAATCCATCACCCAAATGTTGGGGTAATTTTCAATCCTTAGAGCATGCTTTCAGTAGCTAAACAACCAAATGAATTGCAATAACGGGCTGTGTTTCTTCTGATTTACCCTGTACACACGATTTTTTTGCATAATGAACTCAAATTAGACAATTTACCATCAAGATCACCTTACTATAAATAGTTCACGGGTTTATTAAATGTTTTAAGCATGCTCCAAGATTTCCTTGAAATACAATCTGAAGTCTTTAATCCCATGGTCTAAAATGTTTGTTCTGTAAGACCTGAATAGAACACTATTTTGAAAACAAACTTTATAAGAACACCGATGTTCGATTTGCCAAAACAGTGCTAGAACCTCAAACGAAACAATAGAAGAAGATTTTATGAGCTTGCCAACCGCGCTCCAAAAAATGCCATGCAAACTATGGAGTGGTTTTAGAAACGATTTAATCTATATTGAGCAAATGTTTAAATTTTAAACAATATTTAGAATAACTTTATGAACACTTCAGCCTCGAGTTATTCAAAACATAGTAACATTGAACCTCAAAAAATTATCTATGTCTTGTAAAAAAGATGTTTCGAGTCTGGCTTTTGACGTGGGGGACGTTATAACAACGCAACGTACGTATCCTGGCAAAATATTTATAAAAGAAACGAATACCTTAACTCCTGTTTAATACCCGGACCAGAAACAAGCTCACATTTACTCTCCCTGGGTGTTGCGTCTAGCATTATTTTTTAAATAGACATTGAGGTAATTGTGAATGGCCACAGGTTTGTTATGCAGTTTCATGCCTCTTGTGATATTGTGAATGTACCTTAGTTTGTAGAAGTCCACTGTAAATTTTTATAGCTTAAAAAATGAAATCATCATGTTAATCATCATCATCATGTAGAGGCATGTTGTAGCATATTTTAATCAACTGAGACTCTGCATACAAGCCAGTGAAAGAATCGGAGCCCCGCTTTAACAAGACGCAATTAAAATAGAATTATGGAAAATGCATATAACATAATTTTATAAATATATGCTTACTTAGTATCCTCATCCAAGAGCGCCAGAAGATTGGCATAATCCTGAGTCTCTTTAGCTAGCTCTTCGGAGTACTTCAATGTCCCTGTTCCCACATGTTTGCGCCGAAGCGTGTTGTGTGCGTCGAGGCACTCTTGCCCGTCAAAAGCACAGCTGCAAAGGCTGGCTAAGCCCATTACTGAAACTACGAAACGGATAATTCTGCACTGAGACATTGCCTAGGGTATTTTAACTGTCTGCTACTTTGTTCTTCTATATCAGATGTCGAATCTTCTGAAAACCTGATTCATGCGATAGGCCACTCTAACATTATTCGTTGCCTGTGTGTACGTTGACTGTGGTGTCCACTAAGGATCTTCAAACAAGGATCCAGATATAGAAACGTTTGGGCTGATTCCAAATTCCTGCAAGGACAAAAAAAGTGTTACACGTACTGTCTGTCGCTATTTGAGTCATTCGTTGTCACGTGGTGGCTATGTGACCACGTTTGCATGGCTTGGACCTCAACTGATCGTAATGATAGCGAATATATCAGCACAAAAACGAGCCGCTTTCCACACGAAACTCGCCAAAAAATTCACTCGTTACGTGTTCAGGATTCGAAGATACGATTTAAGCAATCATAATGACAGACATAGAACTCGAAGCCTTTGTGAATGAACCTGTTTTTGTGATTTTTGTGATTTTGTGTGCGTAAGCTAGCTTTCTTGGTTCATAATCCAGCGATATCAAGCTCAGAATGTGAGATTAGTGGAAGTGCGCTTCGGTGCTGGGGTGAAGTTATTTTACAGCCCAATCTCTCTTCCTGGTGTGAACCAAACATTGAATGAATGTCAATCACCCAATTATATGTGAGTATTCTTTGGTGTATAGCTGATAGGGAAAAGGGTCGCCAAGAGGGGGGCAAGGGGGAAATTACCCCAGGGCCTTGAGGTCTGGAGCCCTCATAAGATAATGAATTACGTTCTAAGTGGAATTGATGAAAATTAAAAAAATTATGCCTTAAAAAATTAAACGATTGCAAGAAAATGAATGAATTTAAGCTAATCTCAAGGGCGTGATCACAAAAATTTCTGCTCGCTTTTTCTGTGGGTCGTAATCGAAAATGTCAATCTTCAAATAGGAAAACCAGCAAACCAAAAGTAGCACACGTCATAACACGGAACTGGAAGACCTTCTAATGCAAAAATGATCACAGAACGAAAGTAGTTTGACAGTCAATGCCAGTAACAAAAGTATCTTCCGAACCGGTTGTCAAAATTTCTTTCAACCAAAAAGTACGTCTTTCCTATAAATAAACGCATTTTTATAAGGAAGTTCGACTAAAATTCAGTACTGAAAATTCCTTTACTGATGGCCCTTCATTGTCTGAGGTCCTGCCTGACAAAAGAGTTGAAGAAAAGCAAGGAAGAGAGCGCCCGAAGAACCGATGGGAGCGCAAAATATAGGATTCAAACTATGGTTAAGCATATATACGTATACAATAAAACTACCCTTTTGGTGTGTAGGCTGTGTAGGATAAGACCAGGCGGGGGGAGGGTGTTGGGGGGATTCAAGCTTAAAGTGATCATAAGGCAACTGCATCAGGCAATTTCGATAAAACATCATATAAAGAAAACTGAGCCCAAAAAATGCAACCAGATAATTCCAAATGATATGTGAACCGGACAAAAATATGAAGTGGAAGAAACTCATAGTGAAGACGACTAAAAATCAAGAAAAGGGACCTGCCCGCACAAAGACTGCTAAATGACCGGCTTTCATAAGCCAATTACCGGCAACTAAATAACCGGCTTTTAAAGATAGGCAGATTAAACCCTGCGGATTTTAGTACATTTTATAATGGGTATTTATACTTCTCTGCTAAACAGGCTTGTGGTTTTGGGGATGATACACAACAACATCATATTTACACGTGGGCTTAGAAACTGATAACATCATAGAAACCCCGGTGGCACGACCACTACATCCGTTACAAACCTCATATACTGTACTTAGACTGCAAAAAAAACACCTGAGCCAATTGTAAAAAGACTATTCTATAGGGAACCCAGCTTATTGTTGACAGGTAAAACAATTCTTCTAAGAGTTTTGCTTAATTTTCTTAAATTTGAAATGAAAGCAAAGTGTTACCTCGACCAATAAACTTAGCTTCAAGGACGAAAATGTAGAAAAAATCAACCTCCCACCCCCTCCCAACGTGAATTATTTAGAGAACATTTTCGAAGCTCTTCTTTCTTCTACGGAATAGAGTAACACAGACAATAATGACATCAGCCTGACAAAATATTAAACACCTTAAACAAAGTCGCTTGTGGGAAGGAATCGAATTTATCGGAAAAAAGGTGACGATTCACGCGGTAACATTGGTTAATAGAAAGTCACCGTAATTCAGCTTAGAACACAAACTATCTCAACCAAAACTCTAGAGATCATTTCAGCCAATCAATTTATTGTAATGATGTAGCTAAAGTGTTAACTCCTTAACGCAAAACGAGGAATGTAATCCGCCATAACTAGTGGAGGCGTTATAAATACTGGCGTGACTGCCCTGCCAGGAAGTACAGCTACCAAACAACCAGTAGTGAAGCGGAACACAGTATATTTTGAAAAGCGGAACACAGTATATTTTGGCTCCTTACCTATCATATTAACAGGGCCCGCGCCACGAATTTAAAAGTGGAGGGGGGCCAAGACTAAAAAAGTTGGGGGCCAAGGCTTCTTACCTCTTTTACTGCAGCTTTTAAACTACCTGCTTTGCAAAAAAGTGGGGGCATCGCCACCCCCCCTCCCCCTCCCCCCCGTGCAGTAGGACGCTCCCCAGATCACATGACCTTTTATAATCACGTGACAAGTACTATTTACTCCGAAGCTTTGTAAAGCGTAGTTGAGTTATCTTCGTAACCTCGTTCAGTTAAGTTCCAAATCTTGAATGATAATCAAAATATGAAAATGTAAAGAGTGTGTTTCCTTGCTCTACCATCTCAATAATATAAATAGAAGCACCTCTCACACCCGGTGGCACGGACCCTGATTAAGTTACTATGTTCCCCTTGTCCATGCTAAGTGGAGATATTATTATAATCAGTGGCATAATGATAATAGTATTTACTTAATTATCTAGTCGAAAAATGCTTTGTGGTGTATAGAAAATAACTTTGATAACCTAATCCCAACCAATCAATGGTCCATAAAATTAAGTAAATATTGCCTTTGTATCCAAGTTAAAGCCAAGTTACTAAAAATAATGACAAACATTTGCTATGACACATTCAACTGAAACGGACATTTCTTCTATAGAATTGACATTATTGGAAATAGGATGATGACAAAATCTATTTTCAAAGCTTCCTTAAAGCGCATGACAATTTGCTGTGCAAAGCTTGCCAATATCTGATGGCTTTTATAACCCAGAGATTTGTTTGTCAATGCTATTTGCGGAAAGAACGTCAAAAATAGGCCACTTTGATGAGCGTCGGCTATGATTGACCTGTTGTCCGTTTTAATCGGAATTACTTTATCTATATTGTTACAATACTCAAACTGAGTGCAAGGAATTCTAAGAATTTATAAAAAGTATGATTGGAATAACAAAAACGCCGGAAGACGCATCAAATGGACGATAGTAAGCATAAACTCGTGCGTTTATTGCAAGAAGTGTTGGAAATCGTACGTTCATCGCCTCCTATTAAAGGGCCGCTCCAGCCTCAAACAACTTTTTCTGAGATTTTTGCATAAGTTGGTAGTTAGTTGGAAGTTAGCAAGTATCGTGATTTTTTTTCGAAAATCTTTACTTGTTTTCCAGATATAGACGCTCAAAGTCGAGAATCACTGTAAAAATAAGACCAAATTTTATGCCAAACATCTTATGTGTGACATTTTTTGAATACAACTCAGTAGTATTTTTCTTCACAATTTGGGGCCTACAAATTTGAACACGTATGTAGTAGATCACATATTAAAAGCCACAATATCCTGATACTTTAGATTATTCGTACTTTAGTTATTAACAACAATAGGAGAAACATTAACTGTGGGTATAATGATAAATAAATTGAAATTGGATTTCATACTGTTTACAAACTTTGATGAAAAAGCGTGCGCTTTGACTAGGGAATAAACAATTGGGCATGCTTGTCTATCGGGTCTCTGCGCTTGTCAGGCGATATTACTATTTAATTGGCTATTCATTACGGTTACGGTTACGTTACAAGCTCTTCAAGACCAGGAGAAGAGAAGCGACAAAGAAAAATCGTATACTCACAGTGTCCTCTAAGTTGAAAAGTCTGGTTCCGTCTATTTCAAATACTAGCAAATCATGTTATTGCTACATCTCACTCTCAGTTCTTTTATATAAACTGTCTCTTCGAGCAATAATAGGAAATTGTTGTTGATCGATCACGCGACACGAATTGTGACGTCACTGACAAAATCAGGAAGCAACCAACATGAATGCCATTTAGATTTGTTGTTTGTAAACGCGGGGAATTCAGCAGCGTCTACCGACAATACAAGACTTCCTTTGTTAATTTATAAAAAACAACAAACAGCATTATCTGTTTATCATTTTGCCGATTCATTTTTCACAACTGCAGTTAGGCCACAGAATAAAAATAAAAATAAGTTATTCTTATTCTTATTCTTATTATACTAGGCCAAGGAAAAGGACCCTTCGATCTAAATAAATAATAACGACGATCCAACGAGCAACTTTCATAACATCAACTTATAAATACAATTTGCCACTCATAAGCGACACCTTAATGAACCCCTAGTCATAGACACAAATTTTTATGTTTACCTAATTTTTTGTTGAGCGTCCATATCCTTCAAAATTTGCAAAACTGAGCCAAAGTTACTCCAAAACCATTTTTGAGAAGAAAGTGCATCATGAAAAATTTTTAGGAAACGAAACATCCTATAAAATACAAGCACGATCAATTTTTTTCAACATTTTTTTCTTGAAAGTTTTGTTGGCTCAAAAACAAGCAGATATAAAAAGTCAAATTGTCGATGAAAAAGGAAGCAAAGATAGGATCAAGTAGGAAGGGACGTAATGTCAGAGAACAAGGAACACTTTTTCAAAGAAGCTACTTCAAAGGAAAAGAATCTTCCAAAAGTTGTAGTGCACGTACCCCTGGTGTGCCCCCGGTTCTGACGTTCATCGGGGGCTCCGTCGCAAGTGGGAAAGAAAAGTTGCCAAGGACACGCTTGAGACTTTTAACAAAAATTTTGCAGAAAAACTCTACTGCTTTGCCAAAAAGTGGAGGGGCATGGCCCCTTGCCCCCGTCGCCGGAGGCCCTGTTCCTGTCTTTCTTGTTTTCTTATCAGAAGCCTATGTCAGAAGCAAAACATGGAACAAGCCAGTCTTGAAAAACCTTCAATGACCTGAATATTTAATTAACCTTCTCGTCAGCTCATTAGGAAAACGTTTAAAAAAACAGGATTACAGATTCCAGACAAAAACAATTTCCGTTTTATATTAAGCTGCGATTGTTATCTATAATATAATGCGCGAATTAAATATCGAAGCTTGTTGTTCATAAGGATCTCTTATAGTTTTTTTAAAATGACCTGAAATGTCTGAACTTTCAGACTACCAAGCATTATCTGGATTGTATAAGAATATTGTGTGTAATAATTTTCAGGCTCAGAATAATCCAATTTTTAATAATATTATAAGAATATTGCTCGGTCTCAGCTCGTATATTTATGTCTCATTGCTGCTCGTATACTTTTCAGCAGTCTCATTTCGACTTCTTCTTTTTTCACCTGAATAGTAAGTTTTCATGAAAATGAAAGAATTTGAAAAAATACTGCACATTGCTAGGTACATGCAAGTTTTCCTTAGGATCCATCTTCTCAATTTTATAACTTTTCGGGAATCCTTCAAAGCAAACAAATTTCAGAATGAGAAAGTCTGACAAAATATGCTACCATGTTGGAAGATGGACCGAATATGAAAAATTTACTCACGGTGGCTCTAGAGCCAGCACGGATATAACTTGAAAATCTACATTATGGATTGTTAAAGAAAATTTTCAGATAACACGAAATCCCCGCTAGCAAATGACACACAAACGTTTGAAAAACTTTTGAGCAGGGGCGGCTATTAAATCTGTGTAGTAACACCGGCCTACGGATCGACACTCCCAGGAACTCTTGGCCTGCTTTCTCATGACGGCCTACGTTAAAAACAATGCTTGCGCCTTAATAAACCTACGCACTAATTCAACAGGGAAAAAGGCGGCACAAATGCAAAGGCCATGCATTGACTCTATCTCCTGTAAAAAGAGGAACTAGGCTATAACCTTACTTTGTTTTAAATACTAAAATCAAGTGTTAACAGCTAAGGCTATAACTTTATTGTTAACAGCCAAGGCAAATGCATTGAGGCTTGAAAGACAAACTACAGACATAAAGAGATATCGATCAAACATGAAAGACAAGCTACCTGCACATTAATCCATTTTGCCCTTTGTAGTGTTGATTTGAATCAAGGAAATTTATAGAACAACTTACTCCTTAAGATAACCGATAAGTAGCTGTTCAGAATAAAGAATTTTGAACCATTATTTTCGATCAACACTGTCCCAAAACTGTGGTGGAAAAGATGCAGTTTCTGTGACTTCTTGCACCTAATCAGCCCAATTGATTGGATTGGGGAGTTGTCGTTAATGGTATACACTCTTTTTTTATAAGAACACACTCTTTTTTTCATAAGAACAATTTTATAAGAACACGAGCCTCAAAATTGGTCAAAAGTTAAGAACAAATTAAGAACAAGCTAAGTCTGAGCTACTGTAAAATGTAGTTTTTAACAACATTTTTTCTCAAAATCGAGGATTTTTAGCGATGTGTGGGTGCTTTTTCGGTGAATATTCAAATTTATCAGCAAATTAAGGCTGTCTCACTCACTTTGTTGGCAAATGAGGCCTGAACACCTCCTTAGAGCGAAAAAGCTAGCAATAGCACTGCTTAGCTGCTTACGCACTCTTAATTTAAGAACAAATTAAGAACAATCCAGCCTCATATTATCGAAAAAATTAAGAACAGTCAGCCTGAACTTAAATTTATTGGTTCTTATAAAAAAGTGTAATGAAATATGATCAACGAGACAATTTTTCATTGCGTAAAATTCAATATAAAGTAACTGTCAAAACCGACAGACATTGAGGATCAGACCTTATTTATATTTGTCTTACTGGAAAGCATTGTATTGAGTTTTGAAATAAAAGGTTCTTATTGAACTCTGACGTTGATCTCTTGATGGTTTAAGAAGCATTAATCAACTTAAGATAAAAGGATCTCGATTATTCCAAGTAAATAGAAAAACGAAGATCAAAACAACCCATTCACAATAACAGCTCGAAATCTCTATTACAGCAAAAACATTTCCAATCGGATCACGTCGAAACATAGTCACCGTGATTCGCTACAGAAAACATTGTGTTAGACTTTGTTGTGTGTTTGTTCTTAAACCAAAATAATTTTGATACTTGCTAAAGCGATATCAGAATTTACCAACACTTAGAAACATTGTTCTAATTTTCAGCTTAGAGGAAACAATGATGATGGGGGAATGATAGCTTTGGGTGCTTGGAGATGGAGGCAATAACTATGTTTCAGAAACTTTGTTCCTGGTAAAACTCTTGTTCCTGGCGGAAATTCAGGCTTTCATTTGGGGAGGGGGGGCAGGCCTACGATTTTCCGACAAGAAGATAACATCTTAGATCATGTCTAATTTTAAAGAGACTGCACATTTTGATAAAAATAGATGATTTTTTTACGGGACCCTTTAGAAATCTTTGCCGACCACGCCATAATTAAGTAGCAAGAAGAACAATCCATTTATGATTTTGATATCAAAATCTATATCTTATCTAAGACAATTGATGATACAAGAGGTCGACCGATTACACTTTTGACAAGTCGTACGTTCATTTTATGCATTTTATCTTGTTTTCGTCAGTGGGATACGCTTGAAAATAACTTCTATTCGGAAGAATCCGATGGAAATTTCGGCTAATCTTTCGGAATTGAAATTAAATATACAATTCATAAGCAGTTTGATTTTGGTAATATATTATTTGAACCCCCATAATTTCTGCCACTGAGTGAAAGTAACACGGATAATGGAAACAAGAAACTGTGGACACAAAAGGTAAGAAGACTTCCTCTACAGGTAGCCAGGTGGAAGGAGGACTTACGTGAGACAGTGACTCATCTGGAAAATGTTATCTGGCAACTTGGGTTTGACACTGGTCCAAAATGAAGGAAAATACCTAAAAGTTTCGGGTCACATCACAGTCGTGACTGCTGGGCAATGCGCCTGTTGCCAATTTTACCTTGTTTAATTCAGTGGTCGACTAAGCTAACAATAGACTCAAGGACGAACGCTTCGGGCTATTGGTGGAAATCAGACCCTGTTTTCTTGCTATATCTTGGTAAACATTGTGGTGATCTTTGCAAACAAGAAGGGCTCACGATTAGATATTGATTAGCAGCATAGGAACAAATATTATCAACAAAAGATTATACCTAAAACAGGGCATTGTGCGAGGGATTGAATGGAGAGCAAATTAAACAGGAAAAGTAGCAAACCTAGGTGTTTTAATAGGCTAAAAGCCTCTTGGAGTAAGGGCCTCAAAGGAGCTATTCACTGATAAATATTGCATAAACTTCAAAAGTATTATCAGGAAATTGCCAGAAAGAAATCATAAATCTCAAAATAAACAGCTTTTTCAAGTGTGCAAGATGCGCCTTAACACAGAGTCAATCATTGAGGAAGTGAGGGAAACAGGTTATCATTTGGGGGGCTAAGGCCTTAAATTTTCGACAAGAATTCAGGTCCTACTGGATATTCTGACAAGGACGAAAATTCAGGGAGACTTCAGCCCTGCCCCGAAGGTTCAATTCATACAATTGCATACAACATCACTGGTCACTGGATACTTTAGTAATCAAACATCAATTGATCACAAGAATAAAAAACAAATCATAGAATAATAAAAAAGGAGAACCAAATTAAACTGAAAATAACACATTTGATTATTGCTTGCAAAAGAATTTGTCTGGAGTGAATTGCCCATCAGCACCAACAGCCCCTTGAAAAGTTAGCATAATCACAAAATGACAAAAATTTGGTTTTGGCTGTGGAACCTACTTGATGTTTCTTATGCATCTTAGTTGATCTTTTATAAAAAGCATCAATAAAAGATATCACACGACAATCACACAGAGATCACGTGGGGAAAAGGTTCACTTCCTGGGTATGGATATGCTATCATTGAGAGGCATCTACATTGCCTTGATGCCAAAAGTCCTGTTATAAGTTGGGATGAGCTGCACATTTGGGGATCTAGAAAGAATGCCAGTTTGCAGAGTATGGCTGATTTCTACATTTTAATGGGTGCACCAACAGCCCTCCCATCAGTTGTCCCAGGTGTGGTTGCACTATCAACATTTCGAGTAAAAAATTGAATAGATCTTGCTTTTAGGTGCACCCTCAGTGTTAACATGTCTGCATCTTGGAACGCAATCACCATGCTATGCATCATAGAAAGAATGCATGTCCTAAAGTTCTGGGTTCCTGTAAACATTCTTGAATTTGGAAATTGGAACAAGGCAAAGAAGACTTAGCAACCCTTTTTCTGAAGGTTGATAGGTATTTCCTTAAATTTCTGAAAATTTTAGCCCTTCTTTATTTATCTTTTTAGCTTCAGAATAATAATTGAGAGGATACAACTGGTCCTTGGACCTTTTTGTCCTTTGAATGCAATCAGATACTTTTGTTGAACCCACTCACCCCCTTTCTGAGCACATGCACTCCATATATGATGCCCCCAATGATTAATATAACAACATGCTGACTCTGAAAATTTACAATTAATCTATTACACAAATCAAAAAATAAAATTTTTAGAAATACTTCGACCAACTATAAATTACAAATTATATAACTATTTTCTCACTCATTTCCAAGTTGTCCTGTCAGCAGGAAGATTAT